TCCGCCTCGTCCGCCCTCAGCGCCACCGCCCGCCCACTCTAGCCGGGCCGCCGCCGACGCCGCCTCGAAGGATCCGGGAGCGGGAGCGACAGTCGCGAGCCGGTCCGAGCCGCCGCCGCCGCCGCCATGGGGAACCGCGTTGCGCGGGAAGACTTCGAGTGGGTCTACACCGACCAGCCCCACGCCGACCGGCGCCGGGAGATCCTGGGTGAGGTCCGGGCCCGCGCCCCGTTATGTGCGTGCGCGGCCTCCCGCCGCCGGGGCGCGCTCTCCCAGCGCGGGCCCCGCACGCCCGAGGGCGCCCCAGGCCCGTTACGAGCCGGCTCCCCTCGCTTCCCACCGCCGCCCGGACGCCCCGGAAAGGCCCTCGAGGCCTCTGGCCGGCGCTCGGGGCTCAGCCGGGCGGAGGGGGTGGGGGGAGGGGGCAGTTCCCGCGCGCCCGCCGCGCCCGCCCTTCCTCGGGGAGGCGCAGGCATCCGGCCGGCGCGAGGGTGTGTGGGGAGCCGGTCCCCCGGCTGGGTCGCCCTTGGGGGCATCCTCTCCTTGGGAGACCTCCGCGCCCCGGCGGGCGCCGTTGCCTCCTCCCCGCCTCCCCCCACGGGGCCGGGCGTGGTCCGGGCGCTTCGGGGGTCCACGCACCAGCGATCGGGCGAGGGCGCCGCCGCCCTGTCCCCCGGGCGGGGCGGAGACCCGGCCGGAGTGAGCCCTGGGGCTGCCCGGATGGGACCCGCGTCCCGTGCGCTCACGCGCGTTGTCGCCTTGATCTTCGCCTCTGGCTGCGACGCAAGGGCCGACTCTCTGTGTTTCTCACCCGCCCGGGGTCTGTGGTCCTGGAGACTCGAGTATGGAGACGAGCCGGGTCCGCCGCCGGTCCCCTGGGCGCTGATTCAGGCCTCCGCGCCCGCTCACGAGGCCTAGTTACCGCCCTAGGGGTGCGGGCGCTCAGCCCCTGGGAGCTTCTGAATCACATAGACAACCCGCTTCTCTCCCGGTTACTCGTAATGATGTGCCGGGCCTTGGGTTGACTTTTTTTTTGCAAACATTACCCATTCAGTCCTCCCAGTAACTAGGTCAGTGATCGCTGTTTGAAGGCGAGCAGAGGGTGGATAAATAGATGTTAGAGGGGGTTCTGTTCTGGGTTAGATTGCCTCCAAAGCCGGTGCCTTTAACTTCTTGGCTGTTACTCCAAAAATCAGGAAACCCACGGGTGGTCGGTTGAATAGGAGGAATTCTCGCTCATGCATTGTATTTTCCTAGTGTGTCTTCGCAGCATCCATTTGAATGAAAGAGCAAGCCCCTGGTTTTTGCTGGGGGAATCTAACATTAGAAATGTCATCAGTTGCTCCCCGTATGCGGGGGGGTGGGGGTGGGGGTGGGGTTACTGGGGATGGAGCCTGAAACCTTTCGGTGTATGGGGTGATGCTCCGAGCAGGTGAGCCATTGGGCCAGGGCTTGGATGCGTCCTTTTTAATTACAGGGTGTATTTTCCAAATCACACATAAGAGATATGCCTTATCAACACATTGCCTAAGAATAACCAGGCGTCCACCCGGTGAAAATCAACTCCCGAAGACTGGATCTTAGCTGCTTAATATTCAGGAAATCAACGAAGTAAAAAAGTGCTTATTGATGCTTATCTCAACACTGAGCCTTTTTTCCCCACACATTATCGCCGAACCATTTCACTTGGAAAGATAAAAGACTCCGTATTGCTCAATGAAAATATGATTATCTCCCCAGCAGGTGTAAATACTGCTCCGTGTTCCATTTCAGGGGTGGAGTATCAGGAAAGATAAGAATCTGGAGGTTTGTTTACATTAAACGTAAATGATAAGAGATATCTCTGAAACTTGTCAGGTTTTGGGGGGAGGGAAGCACGAGGAAGCAGAAATATGTTGTTTAACAACCAACAACACTAAATGTACATTTAGAGTTAGATTAAAAGTAATATTAAAAGGCATCTGTGATCTCACCTGTAAGTGGCATCTAAAGAACAAAATAGGGCCAGAGGTATGGATGCAGGGAACGGAATAACAGACTCAGAGGGGGCAGGGGTGTTGAGGGGGAGGGGACAGGAAGAGATTAACCAAGGAACATATATGCATTATGAATAAGACGACCTGGGTGAGGGTGGAGTGGAGGGGGGCAAGAAGGGAGAAGATGGGGGACATCTTACACTGTCAACAATAAATAAATAAATTTTAGAAAGGCATCTGTGAAATTAATGAGGGCTTGGGATTAGACCATTAGTTGTAGGTCAAATAATAAACCACAAGAAATGCTCCTTTTACGGTTATACTTCTGAAACAGGGAAATAGTATTTTTTAACAGCTTTAAGATCTAATTCGCCAACTATAAAATTCACCCATTAAAGTGTACAATTCAGTGTTTTTTAGTGTATTCAGAGTTATGTAATTGTTTCAATTCAATTTTTAGGATTTTGTTGTCACCCCCCAAAGAACCCCTCTACTCCTTCAGTTCTTGGCCCCACTTTCCACACTCAGTACTCAGCAACCACTAGTCTACTTTCTGTCTCTAGATTTGCCTGTTCGGGACATTTTTTATAAGTGAAATCCTACAATACTGGTCTTTTGTGACGGACTTCTTTCCTTGGCCTAATGTTCTCAAGGTTCATTCATGTTGTAGCGTGTATGAGCACTCCATTCTTTCTTGTGGTCGCGTAATACTCATTTGTATGGATATACCACAGCTCACCTACCCATTCATCGTTTGGTAGGCTTTGGGTTGCCTTCACCCTTTGACTATTATGACCACTGCTGCTGTGCACATTCACATAACACGTTACTGTACAGATGTATGTTTCCACTTCTCTTAAGAGTGGAATGGCTGGGTCCTTGGTAACTGTATGTCTCACATTTTGAGGAAGTGCCCAACTTTTCGAAACCAGCACCATTGTGTTGGTTTCCAGCTACATGTGTGGGTTCCCATTTCCCCACATCCTTGTTCTGCTTGTCTTTTGTGTTACAGCCATTCCAGTGGGTGTGAAGTGCTCTCTCATTTTGGTTTCAATTTGCATTTTCCTAATGACTGATAATGCTGAGTATCTTCCTGTGCCTACTGGCCATCTGTATATCTGCTTTGGAGAACTATTCAGATTCTTTGTCCATTTTTAATTGTGTCAGTAACTGTAAGACTTTTAAGAGGTCTTTATATGGTCTAAATACAAGATGTATGATTTGCAAACATTTCCTCCTGTTCTGTGGGTTGTCTTCTACTTTGCTGATAGTATCATTTGCAACATAAAAGTTTTTGATGCAGTCCAGTGTATCTTTTTTTTTCTTTTGTCCTTATGTTTTTGGTATAGTATCCAAGAAACCATAAAATATATTAAGATTTACTTCTTTTCTTTTTAAAAAATGTTTCAATTACAGTTGACATTCAATATTATATTAGTTTCAAGTGTACAGCACAGTGGTTTGGCATTTATATAACTTAGTACTTCTGTTTTCTTATGAGTCTTAGAGTTTTCTTGTATTTAGACCCATGTTCCGCTTTGGGTTAATTGGTATAAGGGACTCAGAGTCCAACTTTATTATTTTGCATGTGAATAGGCCCAGCACCATTTGTTGAAAAGACTGTTCTTTCCCCGTTTACTTACATTGGCACCCTTGTAGTATTGATTTTTATGTACTACTACGCTTTGCAAAAATTTGGTACAGAATTATTTGGAGCAAGTTGATTTGTCTGTCTGAGAAAACTGTGCACATAAGAGTTTCAGGATTTTAGAGTGCCTATGAAATGTGTGTTATTTTCTATCCTTTGTGAGATGTGTCATTTTGATTGTTTTATGAAAGGTAAAAATGCTGGAGCTCTGTCTAACCAGAAATAACACATCTTAATACAAAAGAATTATCACCCACCCGTTAAGTGAAGTTGCTATTCTGCTGTGGGAGAATTGCTCCCAAAGTGCTTATACTTTAATGAATGGCTTATCTGAACCCTTCATTTACACCAGGAAAATTCTTTTTAGAGTAATTCACTTCTAGGCTTGTAGGATTACTTTCTTGGGGGTCTGTTGCCTATAAAATTATTAACGTTGGCTAAAATGAACTAATACCAACAAAGATCAGAGGTTAGAGATTGGAGACAGAAAAGGGTAGAAGGGAGAAAGGACAAGAGTTATTCATCTTGAACTAACACTACCCTTACTTCTTTATGTAAAACTAGACTTAAATGAAAACATACATCTTGCATTTTAAGCTTTTATTGTATTCTTCATTTCACATTTAGAGAAAAGAGGATGAAGCTACTCTTTCCCCCTTCTTTATCTTTTCAAGCACATTCTGCCCGGCCAGTGTGGCTCAGTGGTTGAGTGCCGACCTGTGAACCAGGAGGTCACGGTTGATTCCCAGTCAGGGCACATGCCGGTTTCAGGCCGGATCCCCAGTGGGGGGCGTGCTGTAAGCAGCGATGAAGAACACTCTGAATGACTTGTCCCAAGAAAAAGCTCCTTCGGAACTTTTGCCTTCCTGGGCCCAACACACAAAACCAGGCACATTCATTCCCCCGGGGGGTTGGATCCAGGGAAGAATCTGCCTTTGCCATTAGGG